GATGCTGTTTGTGCGAAATGTCAGCGTTTCTTTCACTGCAAAGTTGCACTCAACTTCAACATGTTGCTTAGTAACAGCTGGCTGTCAGCACCCACTCAGGTGTGTGTGTGTGTGATGAATAGCACCGAGTGTGTGGGCAGTTTGAGCGCTGGGCAGATTTAAAGGGAGAAGATGGCTAAACAAAGCCGAGGAAAGGAGAAGAGGAGACGACTTTTCTTTCTTTCTCTTTGCAGACAGAGTGGCGTTTCCATGGTGAACACTATGGGATGCCAAGCTGGTTGCTGGGAGAGGAAGAGGAGGAGGAAGAGCAGGTCAAAGCTGGTGGATTTTTTCCAGCATTTCCACAGAGACTGAAGAGTGTGGGTGGGCTGGCCCTCTCTCTCTCGCTCTCACGGCACCTCACTGAGTGTGGGGGCGGCTGTGTTGTTGTAGCAGGAAGAATGAGAAGGTTGGAGGTGGGTGGAGGAGGACAGCTGCTGCAGATGTCAGGTCCTGTGGTCTCAGGCGTGACAGCGAGGTGACTCAAGTCCACTGCTGATGTCCAGGACTTGTTTGTAGCTCCTCTGAGCTGCTGATGGTGCAAAGCAGATGTGACATCACTTCAGGATGTGCTGCTGTTCATCGGGGCGTAAACTGGCCGTGAACAGCTAAGGTCTTAGACCAGCTCACACTGAGTGTTTGACAGAGTCACGGTTAGTCGTTAAACTCCTGTTAAACCCGTCGTGTCACATGTGGGCCAGGAAACGCTCAAAAGTACAGATGCTTATTTGAATTATCTTTATTTTCCGTGGTCATGATGTGCATGACTGTAGCTAGGTGTGCTTACATGTGCACAGGCTCTGAGGAGAACGAAGATCCTCATAAAACACGAACACCTCCTCCTCTCTAATCTCCAATTGTCTTTATTGTGTGTGTTTGTGTGTGAAGTCTCAGGGCAGGTTGGCATGACAACAAGCGTCCACGTCCAACAGTGTATCCATGGAGATTTGCTCTCTAAGCACACACACGCACAGCGTGGTGCGCGACTGCAACTGCAGACACTTCCTGATGAACGCAGCCTTTAAAGGACCATTCAGCTGTTTTTATTTTCACATCTCGCTGCCTCTGATTGGCCGTTGCTGCGGTGACGGCTGCTCTGGGGCTCCCGCTGCCTCGGGGATTGTTGCTGCCTCTCGCTGTGATTTAATTGGATCAGATGGCAGGTAATCGTATCAGGTGATGTGCTGTTATGTAATGACATCACTGCAGGGGCGTGTTTGTTTACATCACACAGTGGTGTACGATGCAAATCCACTAATAACACACGTCTCACAAAACCTTTTGCGTCTTAGTTTAAAGGCCTTCGAGTGGAAACAGCTCAACACTTAATGTCGAGGCCACAGGCGATAATGAACGTCATCGAGAAGCAAAGACGATGGAAGATATTTAATTCATACAAATCAGGCTTTGATGGTTTCAGTGTTTTTAGCTGCTTGCTGTACAGATGGAGACACAAAGCCAACTGATTAAAAACTATAAATAAATTCTCCGTCACCCTCTGAATAAACCAGCAGCCTTCAAGTCTTCATTCATTGAATCTGTAGGAGCATCGTTGACCTCTGACCTCTTCCAGGGGACAGTGGAGAAGCTGTTTGCAGGATCTTTGCTTCACTGGTCAGAAGCGAGTCTTGAAGCCGGAGAGCTCCAGCTTGTCGATCGACCTCCGGTTGGTGAAGGAGGCTCTGGTGATCCGACTGGTGGGACTTCCTTCTTTGCTCAGCCACACCTTCCTGTAAAGGACCCAATGAGAAAGAAGAGAGTGCGGTTCAGGTTTATGGCACACGGGTCTAAGTCCTACACGCACTGCAGACAGAAAAGAGACTATTTTACTGTGACAGCCGATGATCACAGCTTAGTGGGTCATCGGTCACGGACGCCTCTTCTGTGGTTGCTGCCTAAAGATTTCAAACATTTCTACATTTCCTTCAGGATCAGTCTGGTTGAGACCTGCATCAACCATCCATCCATCCAGTTGCTTCCGCTTATCCTTTTCAGGGTCGCGGGGGGCGCTGGAGCCCATCCCAGCTGTCATAGAGCGAGAGGCAGGGTACACCTGCATCAACCAATAAAAGATTATTTATGTCTGCAGACTCTTATATTCAGCTTTGATGGCATCGTGGCGATTCAGTGAGAAAAAACAAGAAGAGGAAGAACTGGGGTGGAGTTGGGCTGCAAAGTGGCTTGCAGAGCAACGGTGAGCTGCTCACAGCAGCTTCTACAGCGTGTCCTACAGGCAGCTGATGGTGACTTGCTGCCAGAGTTCAGTCGGTCCACAGAAAGCTCTTCATTCAAGTCCAGTAAAAACTGGAACCAGTGGATCCAGTTGCTTTTAA